GGCTTTTTTCTATAAATCTTTCCAGAGTGATCTGAAAAGTGTTCTGGATGATACAGTTAGGTTTCGACACTGACCAACCGGGATTGCTGTCCTTCCCTAGCCAGTGCCCCTTCTCAGAGGGAGTACCAACAGGAACAACGTGTGGTATCAACATCTGGCTCTGCCCCTGGGCTCTTCTTCTCTTGCCCCAAGACAGGTATGGCTGGGGCAGCCTGTTCCCTTTCTCAGCTCCCCAAATTCTGAGGGAACAGTATGGGGAGAAATGACAGACCATGACAAAAAAAAGCAGTCTATCATTTTACTTTGTAATAGAGTTCTGCCAACTACAGCATGTGCCATAAATTACAGTGATCCTTAAAATCCAGCTTGGTCACTGCTGAATGGGTGGGAATAGGCGTAGTTTCAGTTTTTAAGGTCACACTGTCCTAAACTGCTACATATCACACCGTGTAGTAAGTTGGTAACAACTGCTTAGAGGAAGGCTTTCATTATGCAAGTGAGTACATAAAAAAGGGCGCTTCCATCAAATGAATGAAGCAAGTTAAACCAATGATGTTTCTGCAGAGCAAGAACAAAGTAAGGCAGGAGTTTTAAGTAAAATATACTGATGTCTTTGAGCACCTACGGATTCATCAGTAGGTCTAAATGTCTGGTGGCTAATAAACACTGGGTTTCTAGCCACTGCTTAGAAGTGGAAATTAAATGCTGAGTTATATGAGTGAAAATATTTATATTTGTATTTATATGTGTCATTTATATAAATAATGGAAGTGAGAGGGTGAAAATACTCTAAAAACTCAGCTAATTTCTTCACCCCAAAATAAATAATATAGACATTTTCTTTCTTTATACAAGATTTTTGCAGTAGTGTCTTCTTCACATGTAAATGACAGCAAGTTACCTCAAGGTGGAAAATGAGATGTTTAACCTAAGGGAATTTTCCAGGCAAAGGGTATTGCCACTTAAAATGCAAACCTCTTAAAACAAATTTTAACCATTTTGTATGGAAATACATATTAGTTTATTCTGTCTGTCTAAACAGTTTAATGTTGTTATAAAAATTGCATTATTGAAATAACATCAAAAGAAATGCTGTGCTGTCCTTGGGAACGTCCCACTTGCTCCTTGCTGACTCCTTAGTCTGGATCTGCCTTGGGGGTTTGTAAGCAGGCTGTTGACAGTACTGTCTACTCTTTCCTGTACTTGCTAGCCGTTAGCATGTGACAAGGGTATCACAGTGCACTTGGACCCAGAAACCACACACAGGTGTCCCAGCAAATTTTTACTCTTGTGGAAAATCCATTTTTGTCACAAGTAAGTATTCACACTTTTATAATCATTTGGACCTGAGTATGACCTGCCATTGGCTTACAATGGCTGAAAGTTGCTATGAGTAAGATAGGTTGACATGTCCCTAGAGGATGTGACCATTTTTCCTTTTCAGTATAAAAGAGTGATCAGCCTGCTCTACCCAGACTCTGAGTGCCACAGGTTGCCAAGGGGATGGTGCAAGCACTGTGAATGTTGTTATAGGAACTGAGAGATAATGCTATTTAATATTTTAAGGCTGCCTAAGCAATTGCTCAGCAATTATTGCCAACTTACATTTCGAAACACAATTTTGTTTTATTCATGTCACCAGAAATTGTAATATGAAGTATGCTAACACAAAATTTGAGAACTATTTGGTAGCGATTGCTAAAATGATTGACAGGCTATTAGGTTGAGCAAACCAAAACTCAATTCAGTGTAAACAGTAAAACAACACTTACACTTTATCAATCAGAAACTATCAACAAACCTCTAACGAGGGACTTTCCACCAGATCATATCCAAATCAGACAAATGCCTATGTAGCCAATCAGGTAATTACTTTGTTTCCATGTTTTAGCCTATAAAATCCTACTGCTCACTCTCCTAAAGTGGAGTTCTGTGAACCTCTTCAGGTTTTGAGTGCTGACTAATTCATGATTCTGATGTTTGTTAACTTTGTCTTAAGTTTTTCTTTTAACACAACTCTCACCTTTATTTTTTGTGGGTTGGGAAACCAGGGTAACAATTTTCGTAGAACTGTGTGCAAAGTATTGTAAGTGTGAGCATGCTCTGAGTAAAGTGAAGAGAGGGTTTACTTCTTATTAAATGTGCTTTTTTGCCAGGCTATACAAAATACTTTAAAAAGCATTTTTATTTACTTCTGAGTTCTTTACTATATTTCAGAAAGCTGAGTTTGCCTAACAGCACATATTAGTTAAGTGAGATGTTAGGAAAATTGTCTTCAGCAAACAATTCTCACATAAAAGGCTTCAAAGCACCAAATTTCCATAAAGTAAAACTCTTGGAAAATAATAAATCACCATAGGAAAAACTTTAAATGTACTACAGAGACAGGTTTAAACTTTACTGAGCATGGTCAAATAAAGTAAAAGGCAAATATTGTATCATTTCAACTTCAGGTATGTTACTAAGAAACTTTGCTTTCTAAATTTGCCATATACCCACTTCGGAAACTACATCCCAAAGGGACTGCCTTCTGGAATTGAGAAGATCAGTATTCATCACAGCTCTTCTCAGCATGGAGACTCTGACAACTACAAATCTCAAAATGAATGTATCATGCCACACTATCGGGAAGCTCTGCTCTCACTGAATTCTGAATAAGAGACAGATAATTTTATTATCACTCTTCAATGCATGCTTCTGTCAATTTAAAATGAACCCTTATTTGAGTCAAATAACTGCTTTTAGTAACAGGACAATGTACTACTGATAACTTTAAAAAGTTAAAAAGGTTTTGCATTGACCATTTCGGTGATCTTGAGGTCTCCAGATTTACAAATATCTCCTCATTCATTTTCCAAAAGGCACATAAGGCTGGTTTGTCAAAAGTATGAGGATAACTATTTTCTGGGCGAAAAAAAAAAAGTGACCCCATATCTTCATAATCTAATCATTTCCAGACTTTTTTTTTTTTTTAAGTCACACCAAATTTCTGTCTTCAAAAAATGTTCCTTTTTTCTCTCACTTGTCTTCCTCTTCAGATTTTGAACAAATTCATCTTAAATATCTTGGAGCATGATTACCACAGAGAGAAATCAGTGTCCTAAATGGAGTGGCCTGGGCCAAACTTTATCTGTTCCAGGAATCTCCTTTACAAGATTCTTTTAGAGGCTGCTCCCAACCCTTGGTCTATATTCCTTTGGATTCCCGGGAGGTTGAGAACTTCCCCTCCGAGATACTCTGTTCTCTGCTCACGTAGAGTATATCTGCTGTTTTGAAATCAACATCCCTACCAGACTTGTGTAACATTTAAATTCACCCACAGTAGTACTCTTCTGGAAGAACAAGGATTTCTGCTGCTTCTGTAATCCTAAGGGCATTCTGTGGGATTCTTAGGAACTCGAATCTAGCACACTCATGCTCAGCAGGTGAATTCAGCCTTTACTCATTACCCAGAATCATCTAGTATTCACTTTCACCTCTGACTTTCTACTCTCTCACTCCAACTAAAGGGCTCCCAATGTCAGTTCTGGCTTAGCTACGCTACCCTACCTTCCTGCTCCTTGTCATGCCCCCAGCAAACCCTGTTTCTGTTCTCCAAGAGGCTGACCCTGAGCTCCTCCTGGCTGCCACAGCACGCTCCTCCCTGGGGACCACAGGGCAGCATCTGTCCATCAGCCAGACAAGAAGAAAGCCCAGGGAAGACGCACTCTCTTACATTCCCTATATGATGGGGTGGGTGTGGTGAAACTTGCTCCAAGTTTTGTACCTCATCCATCACATTAAGGACAACAATTTGAAGGGCACATTAAGGTCTAATGTCCTATCTGCAGGTTCACATAAGCTTCTAAAATTAAGTACCACACTCTATTTCTTATTGATGACATCTGATTCAGAATTTTTTCTTCATGCACTTCCTCATTTTCTGAACTCAGAACTCCCCTCTCACGTTAGAGCCAAGCAGCTGTGGCAAACCAGCCATTTTTCCCTGCACTGCATAAAACAGAATGCTACTCTCCAAGGCTCACCCAAGCATTGTGATCACCACAGACTTTTCAGACCCCGTCACGGCCACGATGCATGTGTCTGTTCTCTAAGGAGTCTCTACTCCGCTCCTTCTCCAGTGGTCTGCCCCTCGCCCAGCTGTCTTCCATCTCAGAGACACCGTCACAGGGAAGAAATGTGCTTACGGGGCAGCAGAACCCAGACTCGGAAACACTGCGAAGGATCTGCGGACCACAGAACCCACAGCATGGGAGCTATGAAGTGGCCCGGTGGTGGTGGGGTGGTGGTGGTGAGGGGTACGAGGTCAAAGCAACTCCTTGTTATATTACCCCAAACGTACGGTTTTATTGCTCTGAGATAAGATGTAGTTTTATACAATAAAAAGAAGGGCCCTGTTCTAAGTTAGGGGACTTAGGATGTTTGAAGGACGACAAAGCTGTGAGCAGGACAGGGCTGGAAGATTACTGAGTGAGCTGCCTAACGTGAGGAGGCCCTGCCCTGCGATCGGAGTGCCTTGGCCAGCAGGGCGCTGATTTTTACCAACTCCCCAGGCACCACCTCCTGGGCAGCTACCCACAGGAAGTGAGGCTTGGCCAGGGGGTCACTGAGCATCTCTTATCACACGGTGTCTTTCTCATTTTGTCTTCTAAAATCCTGAGTGCATCATTTAAATGTTACCTTTGTGGTTTCTATAAAGGGGTACCTATACATAATCTACACAGAGGGAAACTTTCAATATATGAAATCACTGCATTGCAACCAGCTGTGATTTTTCTTTATTTCCACTTGTAAATTTAAAATTCTCAGATTAATGTAACGTAATCTGTTCATTTGAGGCTTTTATGTTCTAGTTCTGTGCTTTAGTACTAGGTGGCTGCAAACCGCAATGCACTTTCAAAACAAAGTGTCGTAACCTTTATACAAATCCTATTCTTTGTTATTTGTTCACTTCCAAAAAAATGTTTATAAACATTTTAGACATCTGATACCACTGCATTGCAGGAGGGTAGAAACATTTATTGTAGCCAAGTGCTATAGTTACTCACTCTTAAGTTTATTATTCCCCTTATTTTGTGGCAGCAACTCTGGATTCTGTAGTATAAAGAGAAATCAAAAGAAAAGTTCTATAATCTTGTTTTAAGAAGTACACTAGGACCTGGTGACCTAAACCATATGTACAGGACATAAACATATTTATACTTTATATGTACATAGTTAATGGTTACCTATGCATTATAAATAGTAGGTTTAACTTAGATTCTACAAAAATAATCATTTTGGATGGGCACATGCAAACTGGTACACATAAATCTATTTATAAAACACATCTCTATGCTTTTTTTTTTTTTTTTGCTTTTAAATATAAATGTTGCTATTTGGCCCTCAGCTAAATGATTTAAACGCAAACCCCAAAGTTCCCAATTAAAAGTATAAAATCTGCTTCTATCCACAGCGGCATACCACTTCAAGTATTCTTCTCCTATGCAAAGTCTAAATAATTTTGTCACATATGGGTTATAGGTACACATCCTATTTCTTTACTTATTAGACATCCCTGCAAGGTCAAAGCTTTCTTTGTTTCGTTTTTTGCTTTTTTGTTGTTGTTGTTGTTTATTAAAATATTGCAAAACAGTAGATATTTCTTAAAATGGCATCACCTTAGCTTTTACATTCTGATAAAAATGAACATAACTAAGCCTCTTTTCCTCATGCCCTGACCCCAGTGCGGCAAAGCCTGCACTTAATGGTTGGTGGAGCCATCGGAGCTGGTAGACAACTGAGTGGCCACAAAAGGCTCGTTTTGCTTCTGATCGTCTTTCATGCCAGCTGCCTGGTCTGTGATGGAGGAGAAGGACAGCTGGTCATGCTCGATGATGTGCACTTGATCTTCATCCTTGTCCTTCTTCACGTAGAACATCTTTCGGAATTTTTTCAGCTCATGGAGTTCACAGAAGGTTTCCAGAACTACCAACATGGCAATCAGGCCAAGTAGCAGGTAACCTGGTGAGAAACAGGACAGCGTCTCAGGGTGATCCAGTCATGGATAAATCAAGTAACAAGCGATTTACCTCCCGCTTCCCATGCTTTCCGGAAACATTTATTAAGGAATAAATTCATTGCCAGTTTTCTAATTTCTAGGAACGTTTTGAAGTCCATGGCTTAAAGAGGAACTACCCATTGTCAAAGAGGGAAAGACAATGAAGCAGGACTTAACCTTCTATGAACTTGGATTATTTTAGAATCACAGGCTACAATTTTTTTTTTTTTTTTCTTGAGACATGGTCTTACTCTGTTGCTAGGTACTCCTCCAAGTTGGAGTGCAGTGGCTTCATCATAGCTCACTGCAACCTCAAACTCCTGGGCTCAAGCGATCCTTCCACCTCAGCCTCCCAACGTGTTAGGATTACAAGCATGAGCCACTATGTCTGGCCCTGAAATTTCTGAGAAAACAAACAGTTGGGGCTGATGTGGTATTGTTAAAGACAGATAAGATAACACACTGTACTCATCCAAATGAGACCTTCCATGCAAGGAGGGCTTGTCACCTCTGCTTTATAATCAGGGGCTTACAAAAAGCCAGTGACATTTTAGAAAAGTTTATTTCTCTTGGGGTGCTCAGAACAATGCTTGGCATCTTTTTAAGAACTCAACAATACTCTTATTGTGATTTCTACTGCAGAATAAGAACTCTAATTATAGGAATTGCAGTTTAAGCTAAATCAAAATTCCTTTAAGAATCGATGTCAATATTAAATAGGTCTCTGTGTGTGGCTATTTACACTTGCACCTAAATCTAGCAGCAGACCAGAGCTCTCCATTATTTGACAGCTGTTTTTTATGGCACATGGACCACCGGCTAGATAACTCTACAAGTTTCTTATTCTTAAAATAAAATAACAGTTGATTTGGGTACAGTGGAATTTATGATGGGAAATGGTGATTTTGAGTGAGCTACAACATTTTAGAAATCAGTTTCTGGGAAAAAAATAATCATCATGGAAAGGAACAGAAAAGTGAAAATGAAAACTCCAAGAGCAACAAAAATTTCGAGTTCATTTCCCAGTAATAAAATGTTTGAGGAAGATTTTCAGAAAATACATTAAGTAAGAAAGCTAAACTTGGCAGGGTAATATGAATAAAGAGGCTGATTATCTCAAAAATGCCAAGTTTTAGTATCTTTAGAATTTGACTATTGATTTTGATAATAATATAGTGTACGAATGTGCTACATTCTACAATGGATTATAGAAACAGTAATGACTGTTAGACTAACTGACACATCCACTCCTTCTCTTTTATCATTATTTAGCTAAACTCTTGAGTGCTATCAAAAATACCCAGGAGTTTTAGGAAAATCTGATGGGCTTTGTCCTATCCACAAGTAACATACCTTTGGAACATTCATTTGTTAGATACTCAAGTTCTTAACACTCGAAACATAAACTGACTCTATGGAGAGTGCCTAAAAAAACATGACCCACATTGTACCAAGTGATGAAATGTTACACAAGGATTTAGTATTATAAGAAAAACTAAGGAAGTTAAAATGCTGGGCAAAATTTATGAGAAGACAGTTTACCCTGGGGAAAAGTGTTGTAGCTAGCAAACATAATTACATAAACATTCTACTTTCCTAAGTCATGAAAAAAATAAAAAATAATAAAATAATAACCTATTACATGAGAAAGAAGTTAAGATAATGTTTATGGTTCTATCAAATTCACAAACACAAAAAACATCTATAATGCTATTGGCCACCACCCCAGGAGTGCTGAAACTGTCACGCTCAAATAGCGCTGGTCGCAGTGTAAACCTGTAGCACCATTTGGAAAGTACCAGGTCAATATGTTCTGTGAGTCACAAAAAGGTGTATTCACTTCAGGACAGTAATCCTACTTCTTGGAAGGATATCAAAGTGGAAAAAGTATAAATATACAAAGACATTTTGTACAGTGTTATTTATATTACTCTCAAATTAGCAGAAACCTAAATGGTCCATAATAGAGATATGGCTGGAATATGGTATAGCCCCCTGGTGAAATATTATATGGACTCTATAAATATTCCTTACGGTAACTAGAAGAAATATAAGATCATCCTTGTAGTCATTTGGCAAATATCTATTGAATTTGTACGGAAGCCAGGCGCTATTCAAAGTATCGGGGATTTATGAGTGAAGTCTTTGTTCTGGGCAAGTCCACGGGTTAATGGAAATGTTAAAATACACACAGTTCAACTAAGCATTCTGTGAGGTTAAGACTACAAGACAGGGTCAGGACAGAGTGTTTGACTCTGGAGTATCAGCTATGATTTCCAGAAGACATGAATGACCTCAAGAATTGAAAAATTCTTGAGAAGGCAGAAATGAAAACTGTGTATACATTATGACTGCAATTCTATGCATCTTGAAAAAGATAGGAGGCTCACACGAAACTGAACAGCTTCTTGAAAATGGATGGCTAACTTTTCTATGATATTATATTGAATTTAAAACAAAAATTATTTAAAAGTTATAAGTCACTGGCCATCTGAATCTTAATGCCCATTTTATTTTCCAAATATAAAATTCTGAAAACAGTTAACATAGGCTAACTTCTTCGAAAAAGAACCAAATGGACAAATGAGATGAGCAGCTCTTTTAAGATTTTCCTGGTAAATTAAAGAACATGATTGATAGTAACAGGCTCTATCTGAGGCCCAGTTTTCTTGGGCTTAAAATAAAGTATTTAATAAAGTAGAACAACCTTTTTTTTTTTAATTAAATTTGGTTATCAAGTACATTCCATATGATGTACTTTTACCCTGTAATATATAATGCCTATTACATTATTATCGTAATGTAAGAAATCGATTAGTCATTTTAAGGTACCTGGGAAAAATAACTCAGTAATAAGATTTTTGCATGCAGAGTTTTAAAGGCAGTCATGAAATGAAATAGTTATGGGAAGGTGGTTGATTCAGAAGCCGTATGAATGAGAGGAAAGCAGTCAGGGCTTTTATGAATGACTCTTCGCTGGCAGGCGAGGTGGATTTTGGAATGACAGAGATGGAAAGAGCAGCCCGTGAACCCTGATACTCACACGTGATCCCAATCTTATAGAGCTCTCTGAATTTTTGATTGTAGCCTTCTCCAGGAACATAATCTCCTAGGCCAATGGTGCTCAGGGAAATAAAACAAAAATAAAAGGATTCGAGGAAGTTCCAGTCATCCTCCAGGACAGAGAAGACAGCGGCCGGGATGAAGAAGAAACAGGACACGGTGACAAAGCCGAGGACCACGGCGTGGACAATGGCCACCACCTGCTTGGAGAAGCCCCAGCGGACGTGGAAGTAGAGGACAGGCCTGCGGGTGACGTGCACGGTGACACGCTGTACCACGGCCGTCAGGAACAGGAGGGTGAAGGGAATGCCGATGACCGAGTAGATGATGCAGAAGGCCTTGCCCCCATCCGACAAGGGCACGGTGTGGCCATAACCTGTAAGAACAACAAGGTCACTGGGGTGAAGAGGAAGAGAGGGAGTGGCAAACACTTTTTTTTTGTGAGACAGAGTCTCACTCTGTCACCCTGGGTAGAGTGCCATGGCGTCATCATAGCTCACAGCAACCTCAAACTCCTGGGCTCAAGCGATCCTCCTGCCTTGGCCTCCCAGAGTGCTAGCATTGCAGGCGTGAGCCACCACGCCTGGCCTGCAAACACATTTTTAAATAATATATGTGTATTGTCTGCCCTTATTCCCCTCAAACTGAGGAGAAGAACGAGACTTTAGAGGTCTCCTATTTTAAAGGCTCCAGCATAATGGTTACATCAGTAAAATTCAACAGTGGATGCCAAAAATTTGGAAATCCACCACTCTTTATAAACTCTGACCAGCAATTCCAGCACATCAGAGTCTCTGGTCTTGGATTCACCATCAGGCTGAACAGAAAGTTCTGTGTGGTTGGGAGCTAAGGCCCACACCAGCTTAGACCACCAGGAAAAACTCACCATCTGCTTCAGCAGAGCTGACCTGGGCCCCCCACAACCCCCAAGAATCCTCATTAGCATCTAAACCCCAGTCTACACTCATCTCCTAACACACTACTCATAGAATGTTCTAACAGGAATGACTAACAAATAAAATAAAGGTGTGTGAATAGAAAGCTGATACGAGTGAGTACACTGGGAGGGTGGAGTAGACATAATGCAGATACAGACGTCAAAAAAGAGGAAGAAAAGATTAAAGCACACCAAGTCAAAGGATTGAGCACTTCTTTTCAAATATTTTGCCCAATTATCTGTTGAAATAGCACATTTGGAAACTGACATGTTTTTTTCCCTCCTGTCATTTCCATATGTGCAAAGATGCCGTAAATTCCACAAAAAAATTTTTTTTAAATTACATTAGGACGAGTGGTTAAAACATATGTCCTGTTTTACTTTCTACAAGGTTTGAGTCATTCCCTAATCAAGCCAATCAAGGGGCTCTTCATCCAACAAATGTCAGCAGGAGAGAACCCAGAAGGGCCTGAGGCTTGGCAGGCTGTTTTTCAAATCTCATGAGCACATTATCCTAAAAGGACTAACATGTCTGAACAAGTCAATTCAGGAAAAAGCCAACTAAATACATCTTTTATGAAAACAGATTCCAAGAAAAACTCACATATGCGATTATAATTGAAAAGTAGTTTCAAAATCTGATCTCTAAAATACATCCTGCTTAAAAATAAATAAAACCTTCAGTGGCAGATCCTCCAAATTCTCTGCCTTCTACCTAAGGCCTAAGTCCATATGGTTATTTAAAAATTCCCTTGTTTATACCCATGTACAGGCTAAAGACAACAGAGTCAAGGTTCTCAATCTTCCGTCCCAGAGGGTACACAGTTTATGAATGAACTATAGCGAGCCCCAGGAATCCTCTGACATTGTATGGAAACTTGTACCTCTGCCCACGTATGCATTTTCTTGTGAACAGATTCCAGAGCTTACATTTTCAAAAGGGGTATGTGTCCCCAAATGGTTAAGAATCATCATTCCAAGTGTCAGTTCCTGAATCCATCTGGTCCCTGCACACCCTACTGCTCCTGGAATGCGCTGGCTAATTTTGGGCCTGGTATTTAAAGACGGAAATGGGCGAGTTGGGGAGTATCTACAGAACAACGGGAAGGATGATGCGCGCACACCAAATAATGTTCATGCAACATATGGAGGCAGGAAACTCTGAATGTTTGGTTTTAAGGAAAAAAAATGTGCAAGAAGAATGGGGCTTGTTCTGAGCAAAGCAGCCCACATCCCAGAAACACCAGGGCTGATGGCAGCTACAGTTTTAGCTAGGCCTTAGGGAAGGCTATTTTGATGATCGCAGATATCTGGAATAGAATCTGAAAATGGAACTTTATTTAACTATAACAAAACCAACTGGGAAGCGATTCACAGACTTAGTGACAGACCAGTGGCTAAAAGTACCAGGAGATAAAAGTACCCCCACGACTAGAGGGTCAACAGAGACTGCAGGAGATGGATTTGACTTTGGCGAGGATGTGGCAGAGAAAGCACAGATTAGCTGAGTTAGCTGGACTACAAAAAGCCTTTAAGTCTCCAATGTTATGACTTTCTGGGGTAGCATTTTTATAAATTAGCTTTTCCTAAAAGTATAACGCACCTATTTCACACAGCCCGCATCTTCTGCGCCATCTGTTCCAATAAATTACACGGTTTAGGTTCTAGTAGAGGAAAAAAAATAAACAAATTTCTAGTTCGAAAATATTTAGGATATGACTTTTCTCTCAAATTATGATAGCGCTTTGTATTAGAATGTTAACTAAATTTCATTTACTAAAATGTTTCCTCCAAGCAATAAAGATAATCATTCTAAGACTCTCAGATCTCTCTGCAGTGATGGCATTTTTATGCTAGTACTCTAATACATTCCCACTGAGAGGTGAAAAGTCACCAACATGCAGATCCCTGCTGAAAGCCATTTTCTTCTGATGTGTACATAAATAATTTTTGTTAACGGAAAGTGAAATATAAATTTTGCATGGCATTCGTATTCCCTACACTTTTAGCGCGGGCCATATTGGGAAAACCATCCTCCGTATGGACCACGCAGCTATTCTTTTGCAACAGACAGCTTAATGCAACGGAATGGAAACTTTCAGTCCTGTTGAATTTTAATGAAGTGGTGAATAATTTATTCAAGTTCAGTCAATTGAACCTACAGATAAATCATGAAGCAAAGCTCATATTTGAAAATCTTATAATATAACCACAATTAACTCCATCACAAACCATTTAGAATTTAGCAAAATATTAATAAACCCTACATATTTGGGAGTTCTTTAGATTTTTCTAAGGCTATTAATATAAATTGGGAGCCCAAAAAATTGAGCATAACAAAATCTACTGAAAAAACTTACTTCAAAATTAGTTGAGATCCTGAGATAAAACTCCCTCATACAAATGGTCTTGTATTCTAGCCTCCTCCTCCACAACTGCTAGGTTTCCTGTTAGGACTTTGCACCTGTGGGGCATATGGGACCGTACATATAACGAGTGGTCATACTGATGACAAGTCCTAAAAATCTGGCTTCCCTTCTGGCTACTCTAATTATAAGCCCTGACACTATGCCAGCTGGGGCTATTCTGTGCCAGGTATGGGCCTTCTGGTTTTTCTGGTATTTAAATTCTCCTGAATGAGGGCCAAGACAGACAGCCTTTGTGGGCTCCTCTTAGTACATCCCAGCAAGTCACTGATATGCAACTTCTTCACACGTACCAGACGCTTTGGAGAGAGGTGCAGCTTACAAGGACCCCATGTTGTGACCTGGAGAGTATAATACTATAGCCTCATTTATTTACATTATTTAGTATGATATGGATCAATGTATACATTCTCCATTAAGTTAGCTTGATGCATGCTAAAAAAAAAAAAAGCTACAAAAGAAGGCTGGCCTCTGAAATCAACTGCAATAGAGATATTGAAATCAGATGCAATGTTTCATCTTCTGTAAAACAGACTTTACTTTGCAATCCTAAACTTTAGCTCATTCATTATCGCTTTCCCACTGTACTGTATGCCCCCGGCGGGGAAAACCATGACCTCCCCTACTTTCAGTCTCTCCAGGCTCCCGGACCACAGTGCTATCTGCTATCCACCCCACAGTGAGCAGTTACACTGGTGCTGTAAGTGACTTTAAACTGGGGCGCTTTTTTTTCTAATCATCATAGTTATACTGTTCCCTACTGGGAGAAAAAAAATGAGGTAATAATCTCTTTACCTTCTCAGACTCCACAGACAAGATGGCTTGTTCCACTGAACCATCTACTGAGCACTGCCTTTTTATGCCTTGTTAAGTTATGGGGCCAGATAAAAGCAGCACAGAAACACGGCCCACAATCGAATGTGGGGTCATAAGCACATTACTTCACAGTATTAGTACAGCTTTCCTGGAATCCCAAGCACTCACATTTTTAAAATCTAAGAATATTACCTAAAGCTTTTGCATCCAGTAACTCCCTGATGCCGCCTTGGTTGGGGGCAGCAGGATTGATAGGGGTAAGTGATAAGGAAACAGCTCACGTCAAAAGGTTGATTTGTCCCCCTTCTAACCAAAGCTAAAATAGACTCACCCTCCTTGCTAGCAGCTTCTCAGCTTCCCCAGACACAAATAAGATGGGCTTCTTACTCTCAGTACTGGCTATCTCTCTAGAAAGAGTCCCCTCTAATATTTTCTCTACTAAATTAAATGACAGGTTAATTAGACAAGCCGTTTAAAAAACAGCATGCTAGCTAATGTCTAACATTTTAAAAAAGTAAATGTACAATGTTTTATGACTAGGATTAAATAAAGTAAATAAAAAGGACTTAAAATGAAACTCTGTCACCCTGACTTGTTTAATTCTGAAACCCATTTGAGGGCAGAGATGTCAATATTGCACTTGTTGATGATGCCACAAAATTGTTGTTGTTTTCTTTAATATCCTTTCCTAAGGACCAGAAATCCACAAAAGTAGCCTGGTTAATGAGAAACTAAAAATGATGAGAGATGCTATTTGCCAGAGCAAATTAAAGAACTCTGCCTAGTATGCCCTAGACATGGGACCAGGTTTTTTCACATATGTTACCCCAGTGGCTCCTCATCAGTGGGTATCTTAGTCTACTCAGGTTGCGATAACAGAATATCACAGACTGGGTGGTTTATAGATAAAAGAAATTTTTATTCTCACAGTTCCAGAGACTGGGAAGTCCAGCAGATTTGGCATCTGATGAGGGCCACTTCCTCACTCTAGTTTCATTCACATGGCAGAGGGGCAAAGAGTCTCTATCATGTCTCTTTCAGAAGGGCACTAACCCCGTTCACGGGGGATCCATCCTCATGACCTAAGCACCCCCCAAAGGCTCCAACTCCTAATACCATCACCTTGGAGGTTAGGATTTCAACATGTCAATTTGGGGGTGTAGGGGTGAAGGGAAACTTCCCCTTCACCCCAGAAGC